TAGCCCCGCCCACCTCTCCAGCCCCTCCCTCCTGGCCTCTTGGCCCCGCCCCTCTCCATAGCCCCGGCCACCTCCACAGCCCCTTCCTCCCAGCCCCCTTGGCCCCGCCCCTCTCAGCCCTTCCTCTCCCCTCAGCCCCTCCCCTTCCCCCCCAGGCCCCTCCCACCTTCTCGCCCCCAGAGGCGGATGAGGCGGTCCCCGCCGCAGGAGGCCAGCAGCCCTCCGCCGGGACTCCAGGCCAGGAACCAGCACCGGGACTCGGGGTGGGCCGGGAGGCGACACACCAGCTCCAGCGCCTCCTTCATGGCGGCGCCGCCTCCTCTTCCTCCTCCTCTTCCTCCTCCCGCCGCCGCCGTTACGTCCTGACGTCAGCACGCCTCTCGCCGTCCTGCCGGAAGCGGAAGCGGCACCGTTAAAGCGGAAGTGGGGCTGGACCGACCGGGCCCGGCGGCGCCATGTACACCCCGGGCGGGCCGGCCTTGCCCGGCGGGCGGCGGCGGCGGGGTGTGGGTGGCGGCGGAGGAGGGGGAACGGCGGGGAGCGGCCTCCCCAAACAACCGGAACGCAGTTTGGCTTCGGCCCTGCCCGGGGCTCTCTCCATCACGGCGCTCTGCACCGCCCTGGCCGAGCCCGCCTGGCTCCGCATCCACGGCGGCACCTGCGCCCGCCAGGAGTTGGGGGTCGCCGACGTCCTGGGCTACGTGGACCCCGAATTGTTGCGAGGTGAGGCCGGGGAGACGCGGCTGGACTTTATTTCCCCCTCCCGGGGGTGTCCCCGGGGGACTCGCCTGGGCCGGGCCTACCGGTCTCTCCGCTCCCCTGGCCCGGCCTCTCCCCTCCCCCCCTCCCCTGGGGCCTCTTTGTAAAGGTTCTTCATCAAAGTCACCGAAATGAGGTGGTTAATCACCCTCTTGGAGGGGGGGGAAGCAGCCGTTTGGGGGGAGCACCCGCTTAGGGGAAGTTTGTTCCTTGTTTTTTGGAGGGAGGACCCACTTGGGGGGGGTTGTTGCTCGTTTTAGGGAGGAAACACCCATTTAGGGGGTTTCTTCCCTGGTTTTTGGGGGGAGCACCCACTTGGGGGGGGTTGTTCCCCGTTTTAGGGAGGAAACACCCATTTTGGGGGGTTTCTTCCCTGTTTTTTGGGGGGAGCACCCACTTGGGGGGGGGTTGTTCCCCTTTTTAGGGGGGAAACA